CAGATGCCCCGTGCATCCTGGGCATAGACTATCTCAGGAGAGGGTACTTCAAAGACCCAAAAGGGTACAGGTGGGCTTTTGGTGTACCTGCCCTGGAGGAGGTTGAACAGTTGTCCACCTTACCCGGCCTCTCAGAGGATCCCTCAGTGGTGGGGCGGCTTAAGGTTGAGGAGCAGCGAGTGCCGATTGCTACCAGGACAGTGCACCGGCGGCAGTACCGCACCATCCGAGATTCCCTGGTCCCCATCCATCAGCTGATCCATCAACTGGAAAGCCAGAAGGTGATCAGCAAAACTGACTCCCCCTTTAACAGTCCTATATGGCCAGTGAGAAAGCCTAATGGCGAATGGAGGCTAACTGTGGACTACCGTGGCCTGAATGAAGTTACGCCAGCAATGAGTGCTGCAGTGCCGGACATGCTAGAGCTCCAGTATGAACTGGAGTCGAAGGCAGCCAAGTGGTACGCCACGACTGACATTGCTAACGCGTTCTTCTCCATTCCGATAGCGCCAGAGTGCAGGCCACAGTTTGCGTTCACTTGGAGAGGCATCCAGTACACCTGGAATCGATTGCCCCAGGGGTGGAACCACAGCTCCACCATTTGCCATGGACTGGTCCATATTGCACTGGAGAGAGGTGGGGCTCCAGAACACCTGCAGTACATTGATGACATCAGTGTATGGGGGAACACAGCCAAGGAAGTCTTTGAGAAAGGGAAGAAGATAATTGAAATCCTCCTGAAGGCCGGCTTTGCCATTAAGCAAAAGAAAGTCAAGGGGCCTGCAAGGGAAATTCAATTCCTAGGAATAAAATGGCAAGATGGGCGTCGCCACATCCCAATGGAGGTGATAAGATAACAGCCATGGCCCCACCAACCTCTAAAAAGGCGACTCAGTCTTTCCTGGGCGCCATGGGGTTCTGGAGGATGCACATCCCGAACTACAGCCTGATTGTGAGCCCTCTCTACCACGTAACCCCTAAGAAGAACGATTTTGAATGGGGCCCTGAGCAACAACAATCCTTTGAACAGATTAAACGGGAGATTGCCCAAGCAGTAGCCCTCGGGCCAGTCCAGGAAGGGCAGGAGGTTAAGAACATGCTCTACACCGCAGCCGGGGAGAATGGCCCTACCTGGAGCCTCTGGCAGAGAGCACCTGGGGAGACCCGAGGCCGACCTCTAGGCTTTTGGAGCCGGGGATACAAAGGCTCTGAAGCTAATTACACACCAACTGAGAAGGAGATACTGGCAGTGTACGAAGGAGTTCGGACTGCCTCAGAAGTGGTCGGCACTGAAACACAACTCCTCCTGGCACCCTGACTGCCGGTGCTGGGTGGATGTTCAAAGGAAAGGCCTCCTCCATGCATCATGCAACAGATGCCACGTGGAGTAAATGGGTTGCGTTGGTAACACAACGGGCTCGAATAGGGAACCCCAGCCGCCCAGGGATACTAGAGGTGATTACGAACTGGCCAGAGAGCAAAGATTCCGGGATGTCACCAGAGCAGGAGGTGACACGTGCTAAGGAGGCCCCACCCATATAACGAACTGCCGGATGAGGAGAAGCGATATGCCCTGTTCACTGATGGATCTTGTCGTATTGTGGGAAAACATCGACGGTGGAAGGCTGCTGTGTGGAGTCCCACACTACAGGTCACTGAAGCTGCTGAGGGACAGGGTGAATTGAGCCAGTTCACAGAGGTGAAAGTCATCCAGCTTGCTTTGGATATTGCTGAGCGGGAAAAGTGGCCACGGCTCTACCTCTACACTGACTCGTGGGCAGTGGCGAATACCCTGTGGAAATGGCTGCAGCAATGGAAGCAGAACAACTGGCAACGTAAGGGTAAAACCGTCTGGGCTGCTGAAGTATGGCAGGACATTGCAGCCCATGTGGAAAACCTCGCTGTGAAGGTGCGCCATGTGGATGCCCATGTACCCAAGAGTCGGGCCACTGATGAACATCGACACAACCAGCAGGCAGACCAAGCTGCTAAGATCAGAGTGGCTCAGGTGGACTTGGACTGGCAGCACAAAGGTGAACTGTTCATTGCCCGGTGGGCCCACGAGACCTCGGGCCACCAAGGTAGGGATGCAACATACAGGTGGGCTCGAGATGGAGGGGTGGACCTCACCATTGACACCATTGCAGAGATCATCCATGGATGTGAGACGTGTGCTGCAATCAAACATGCCAAGCGGGTGAAGCCCCAGCGAAATGGAGAGCGATGGCTGAAATATAGATATGGAGAGGCCTGGCAGATCGACTACATCACACTGCCACAGACCCGCCACAGGAAGCGCCACGTGCTCACAATGGTGGAAGTAACCACTGGGTGGCTGGAAGCTTACCCAATGCCCCACGCCACCGCCCGGAACACCATCCTGGGCCTTGAAACCCAAGTCCTGTTGTGACACGGCACCCCAGACAATGGGGCCCACTTCCAAAACAACCTCATAGATACTTGGGCAGAAGAACGTGGTCTACCATATCCCCTACCACGCACCAGCCTCTGGGAAGATCGAGCGCTACAATAGACTGTTAAAAACCACGTTGAAAGCACTGGGAGGTGGGACATTCAAAGACTGGGACATGCATCTAGCAAAGGCCACCTGGCTAGTCAACACAAGACGATCTGCCAGTCGAGCTGGCCCGGCTCAGTCGAAACCTCCACGTGCTGTAGATGGGGATAAAGTCCCTGTGGTGCGCGTGAAGAATATATTGGGAAAATGGTCTGGTTTAGTCCTGCGCCAGGCAAAGGTAAAGGCAAACCCATCCATGGGATTGCTTTTGGTCAAGGACCTGGGTGCATCTGGTGGGTGATACAGGACAATGGAGAGGTCCGATGCATACCACAGGGGGACTTGATTCTGGGTGAGAACATGCCGTAAATTATGCTGTGCCTGTGTAAATTAATACTTTGTTATTGTTAACTGCTAAATGGCAGCTGGACATGACGCAGGTGGTATAGAATAAAGGGGTGGATTATGTCCTGGTTCAGCTAGGATAGGGCTAAGTTTCCCCAGCAGAGAAGGGGAAAGGGATCTCCAGCCAGGTTATTCATACCATGCTGACATCAGGTCCAAGCGCAAGAGTGCGGGAACTTTTTTCCTTTGTGGCTTTGGTCACGAGAAGCATCGCGAGTGAGCTGTCTGTAACAATTTAGCGGTATTTCTCTGTATATCTTTTGTCTTGTTCACTGTAACTGCTGTTTATTGTTATCATTGCTACTGTTATTGTTCAGATTGCTTATCACACTGTTGTATTAAATTTCTCCTTATTTTAACCCGGGGTTTGTGCCTCACTTCCAGCCTGACTGGCTGAGGGTGGGGGAGGGACAACGGCAATGTGGCCTCCGGTCCCGGCAGGGCCTAAACCAACACACAAGTATTGTAAGAGGTATGATTAACACTATGGGTGATGTGTGGCATTGCTTAATTCTATAAAGCCTAGTTACTGCCCAGGAAGTGCAGATGGAAATTGGACCCTTGAATTACTTAAAGTCTTTTGAAAATTTAAGCCATGGTTTATAACAGTTGATGATTTTTTAATGTAGCTCCTTTAGACAAATTTAATGACTCTGTGTGCTGCAGACAACAAATTACAACTACTGTATCAAACATGCACACAAATCCAGAGGTGTCTTTTAATTGGTTCTTCAATTTTAAAAAACACAAGCTTCAATATTTGAGCTAAAGGAGATTTTTGATAACGAGTACTGATGTATCTTACTGGGGCCACTGTTGCAGAGGTAAGTAGTTCTCTCATCAGAAACTCAAAATATCAAAATATCTTTGATTTTGTTGTAGAATATATATTTTTTTTTCATTCTGCTGATAGGGTCTGAATCAAAATCCCTTAACTAGAAAAAGACCTGATTTACAAGATTGGTAATAGCTGTTTTGAATTTGATTGCCTGTGTGGGAAACACGGGAGTCCATATTTCCCCTGTTCTTCCTCTATTTGCTCCACCATGTATTTGGGTCAAATAACCTGTTTCTGAAAATACTAGTGGTAAGTGGGAATCAGATGCAATAGAAGCAATACTGCATTTATAATAAGGGGAAAGGGATAGATGTGGAGAGAGGAAGGAAAATCCCAAATCTGAGAACCTTCCCTCATGTTTCTCCTGGTGTGGTGCAGAGACAGGCTGTCTCTTGTACAGGGGGAGTAGAAATGCAGCCTCTTCCTAAATAATTAAATGAATACTTAACCTGCAGGTTTAAAACTTACAGTATATTATAAAACAATTATGTTTCCTTTGCATGAAAAAGCTGAATTGCTATTCAGCTTCTTTTGTCATCTGTATGCATGAGTCTGGAGCAATTAGTATGAATATATTGCAGGTGTAGTATCTCAGGAAATTGCAAGAATCTGTGCGGTATTTTTGTACCATAGAGGAGTGCCAGAGTTATAACTCCTGGAAGAGTTGAAAACTGGAGACATGTGAGCATCTGAAGTGTGATTTTATAATGATAACAAGCACTGATAGCCGTCTATATAATAGGTATGAAATGAATGCTATATTTTCTCAGATTGTACCACTACTCATTTAATTTAACTGGAGATTGCAAACTATTTAATTCTAGATTGTGGATTACCTTTCTCACATTCCCCGTTTATCTTTCTAACTGTAGATAGAGTTTTCTGAGTGGTAACAGCAGTGGTATTGTGTTAGCTTTGATGTTGTCTCCAGACAACATCCTATTCCTGTGAAACACATTTTTGCATGTTCTTTAAGATAAACTACTTGGGAACTCGTGAGCCCTGAGTTTTGTTTGGTGTCATTTTGTTGCATCTAACAGTTCATGAAAAACTGATCCTTGTGCCTGACTCTGAGATGCAGTTTCATTTTTAAGTGCAAATTCCTCATAAATTCAGGTGAGTACGGTAAGATAAACACTTCCTAAAGCCAAATCTCAACATGGTTTTTTTTTTTTTTTTTTTTTTTGTAAAGTGGTAAAAATCCGCATTTGCTGAGTATTTGGCTCTTAGAGTTACCTGACCTGATAATTTTTACTTATGCTCCATTTATATGAGTGGAATAGAGGGACCTCAAAGACCATGGTGATTATTCATATATGGTTTGATGCCCTTTTATTCCACTGCAGAGGCTTAAAGGAGCCACTGTGGTAATAAGATTCATGCCCACCATTTTACTTACATGAAATCACTGACTTGATGAATGATACTGATATGGAACGTTTACTTTTTTGCAGGTGTGAAGGGAAAAATTAATCCTGGGGACTTCAACAAAAAACCCAGTGACTTCAGCCAAAACTGTTCGCACATGGAAAAATTTCTGATAACCCTTATCACAGACACGGAGTGACACATGGGCATGTCCACTTACTTTGACTTTTAGGAAGTGGAAAAGGAGGAGGAAATGCAAGAACCAGATTTAAAAAACAGCCTGTGGCAAAGTAAGGAGTTTTCAGGTTGTCAGCGTGGTGAGTCATCTGCACAGTGTTTCCATAAACATGACATCAGTGACTACTCCTTCCTTTTAGCTGCAGTAACATACACACACTTCAGTAGAGTGGGAGGAGGAAAGAGGGCTTACTCTGAAATGGAAATCGCAGGAGGAGGATATCACATGAAACAGACTCCCGGAGCAGGCAAGACTTGTGACAGGATAAAGATTATTTGTCCCGTAAATAGCAGTCCTAAAAACATGGTAGCTTGGTAGGGTGTTATATGAGAAAAAGATATGTATTAAAATCTGGTGTTGTACTGTGTGATGCACGGATGTTTTCAGCGTGCTTGTGGTTAATGCTGAGAGAACAAGACACTCTCAGCTCCCCTCTAAAATTTTAATGCTAACAGAAAATCTATTGTTTTCATCTAATCTTAGTTTGAGAAACACCCTTCTTTTGTATTGGTTATGAAGTAAGAAAATTTGTGGGCTCCATGGCACTACCCCTCTCCTCTGTCTCTGGGTTCTCTGCATGGGTCTGTAGCTAATGTGGCAACACCCGTCCTATATTTCAAGAGGCCTTTTGAGCAGACTATCAAAAAAAGAGTTTAGAGATTTAAAAAAGAGCTAGAGATTGCGTTGTCCTCTGTGACTCTGGGAGAATTTAATGGAGTTGGAGACTAATCTGCCCACAGTTGCTCCTTGGAGCATGGGGAGTAAATTCCCTTAGCTCTGAGGAAGAAGTCAAATCTTCTCAATGGTGCACTTCAGCCAATTTTTCTCTTTTCCTCCCTCAGGTAGAGTTTTCTATGGGAATGATTGAGGCTTGACCCTATGGAAATTAGAATTTGCAAAGACCTATTATAAAATTGATTTTTATTTCCTTGTCACTGTGAAGTTGTTCCCTATAGCATGTTCTCTAATGATTTATCCAGGAGTTTCAAATGTTGTAAGTACCAGTGGTTCTGTATTTCCCCAGCCTGTCTCACTGACGGATGGTGCAGAGATGGGGATCGCAAGATACAGTAGAGATGAAAAGAGAGATAGCCAAATAAGATAAAGATGAAATTTCTTTTATACTGTAGGAGTAAACTGCTTTGGAGGATCAGGAGAGAGACCAGCAGCATTTGTGGTGTATATTCTGAGTGATGCAATAGTTTAGATCTGGGGTACATTTAAAGACAGTGAGCTTTGCCTCAGACACAAACCCAATGACTTTTAAAGTTATCTCCCTTTATATCTATTGAAATGCTTTTGCCACTCTTTTCTTGTATTATGTTTGCACAGTATCTGGGAGAAGACCCTCTTCCTCATCTCTTCCCCACTGTTCTCTTATTAATGCCTCCCTCTATGCAGCTCCCTGCCCACTCACGCTTCTAGGGAAGCAGATGTGATGAGAAGTGCTGAAGCAATATGAGATGTGATGTTCTTGAAGAATCTCTGATCTGCAGAACAACATCTTGTGAGATTTACAACTCCAAAGGATTTACCATAAATAAATAAAACCTTTCAACACCTTACAGCTCCTGGGAAACAAAATCCAAAACATTCTGAGTTTCACTTATCACTTCTTATTGCCGGTATTACTGGCAAATTTGCTGTCTGTTCGGTCCCATTGTGCTGTCCACCTGCCTCTTGCATTCTGCCTCAAGCAGCCACAGCAGTGTCCTGTCTCTTTTGCCACTCGTCCATCTAATATAGCAGTGTGTGGGTGATGTAATGCTTGAGGATAATAACCTAGTATCTTTTCTGACTTCTACATATGAACTTTGGTGTTTACTACTTCTTTTCTGTTTGGTATCGACTCTGGAAATTTTTACACAGACAGCAAATGAGGTTGTGAATTCAGTCTACAGGTTTCTCTTTTCATGGGGCTCCTCTTTTCCTTCATTACTTTTGCTTTGTTTGTTCAAATTAAATATTTATTGCATTTTAAAGAAGAATGAACTTTCAGTACAAGATAATAAAGGATTTATCCGATGATAAAACATGTAAATCTTTCCAGAAACTTCAGGAGGATTTTAATATTAATGCAGATCAAATATGGAAATACATGCAACTTGTGAATAGTTTTATGGAAACAGGAAGAGCTGTGGAGTCAGTGTAGGAGTAATCCTTATTAGGATGAGTTTCTGATATTGATAAGACAGAAATACAGTATCTCAATTTTTTCTCTTGTTTAAATCTCTTCATTGTTTTGTGAAAGGACAGAAAAGAATGACAAGTCTTTTTTAAAAAATAAACTGCTGAAGAAATAATTAGAGAATAAACTGTAGGGAACAAGTTTGTAGTGTCAAGGAAAGAAAATCAGTTGTGTAATAGGTCTTTTCAATTTCTAATTTCCAGAGGGTCAATCATCAGTTTCCCCTGTAGAAAAAATAGATTAATTATAGATAATTGATATTTTACTATTTTAAATATTTTAATAAGCATGGATATCCCTCCTCCTGCGGTGCCTCGGGGTAAATCTTCATTTCTCCTAGTATGAATTTCAGTGCAGTGAGGGCCTAGTAGTCCGTATTCCTAACTTAATAAAACATACTACTCAAATTAATGCTTAAAGTACCTAATTTTTTAAGTCTCCCATTTATTCTTTCCAAAATGTCACTGAAGTCATGTAATGTACTTACCCAACAGCAAACCAAAACAAAACAGAAATGATAAATTTGGAGAAAAATGAGAAGAGAAAATCAAGAGGTAAGGTATGGGTGAATTTTGTACATGGCAAAATTCTCTATACTTTTTAATTTTTAGATTTTTTTTTTTCAAGAATGGATCATGATATAGATAGTGAAATTTCATAGCTTACATTATAACCCTTAAAGAGCAGCATGAAATAGAGAGATATTGAGGTTCCTGCTTCATACCTAAATGGAACATCCCCCTTCAACAATATCTGATCACCACTTTTATCACAGCAACGTCCCAGTTTGATTTGGTTGACTTTCACACATGCTCAGAGAATACACTGATCAATTTAGAAAAGTTGGATGTGATTGGGGAGATCTGTGGTTGAAAAATTCCCAAGATCAAGGATTTAAGCAAATAAGATAGGATTTTCAGAAGGTCCTCAAAGATCTAAGTCCTGTGTGAAGTCCAGGGTTCCAATGCCCAGAAATACTCTTGAGTGCAGGATATTACAGAGGATGGGTCACACTACACAGCCTCTGTTTTTCTGTCTCTTCTTTGCAGAGAGCTTCCTTCAGCAGAAAATCCTCAAAGATCTACAGTGGTGTTTAGGAGTGTGGGATAGGCGGTACAGAGCAAAGAAATCCAGAGACCACCTTATTCTTCTAACACTTCCCTGTAATACTATCTCTTCTCAGTCTTAGTATTACAATTTTGAAAGAGATTTCAAATTCACACAGTATGATGACTTTGCAAGTCTGCATATGAAACTCATTTGTGCTGTGCTCCAAAATAATTTCTGAAAACACCCTGCTCCCATTTATCATTCAAGATGAAGGTTTCTTTCACTTACTGTGTTCTAGGACATGCTTTCAGCTAACTAGTGAAAAACCTCTGCAGCATGTTTTGCTCATTAGAGAGGCATTTTGATGTTAAAGAAATATTTTCCTTTTTATTTTAGAACGTCTCAGTGGATAAATAGTATACAGATTTTCCTGAAATGTGCTTTGAGGGCAGCAGCTTGGAAAATGAAGAACAGATCCTTCAGATCTCTGAAATTAATGGGGAAATTCAGTGAAATTTGGATTAGACTCTGATGATAAAGCAATCTGAAACAGAAACATCATTAAAAGATACTGGTAATGAAATTGTGAGTTTATTTGTCTGAAAAACAGCTTGTGAGGTAATAAGTAATGAATTATTGTTAAGAAGTACATCTGTCTCTAAAGTGAAAAATGTCTTGTTGGATGCATTTTACATCTGTACTGATTAAATTATTAAAATAAGTACCTTTGAGATAAGAGGATGTACTATAAAGATGACCAAGCAAACAGAGGGCTAGGGGGCTTTTATGCTAATTAAATGATGGACACACAGTGAAGGGACAAATTGTTAATATATACTAAACACTGAAAATCTAGAAGACCATCTGATACATTCTGCCAGAGAGAAAACATGTCTGTTTAATTAAGGGCTGTAATACTGCATGTATGCTTGCAGGCAGAGATAAGGTAGCTAATCTAGCTTTTTCTGAGGTGCACTCTGTCTTAGTGCTAAAATTTCAACCTTAAGATTCCCCTAATGTTGCTGTTTGTATGGGATTGTTTCTCGGTTTCTGGCACGTAACTGATTCCCTGAGAGATAGATGCGCCTCCAAATAATGACTGCTTGTCAGGAAGATATTTTTTCATACCTGGCTTTAATGCAGACCTTTATTTTACAGACAGTTTTCTCAGAGGCTTATGCTGTCTTACTTTTAATGGATGAAAAAAAATGGGGGTGAGTGGGAAATGCTGTCATGCAGGCGTTCCAGACGAGACTGGGACAACATCTCATTTGAATAACCACTCTGTGGATCTGTCAAGCTGAGCTGAGACATGCCTCAGCAACCTCGACTCAAAATCGAGCCCTCGGACAGAGGGCGGGATGCAGGAGTGCTCGCAGCCTGTGCGCACCCTGGCTCCCCTTGCCGCAGTGCCTCTGCTCGGGAGAGTGCTGGCATGGGCAGAGAGTGGTCTCACAGAGGAGCTTAATTGCGCCTTTGCTGTATTACACAGAAACATATGGCTCAAAGCCTACAGGAAAATATCAGGAAAGGAAATTTGCAGCAGTAACACAAACCTTATTTTGCATGAAGTAAAATCAATATTTGTTATCTGAGTGCCTTCCCAGGGTTTAAAAGCCATGTGTTCGATTTCACTGAGTTTGGGGTATTTGCCTTCACTCCCTCCTCAGTTTACAGTTGTTTTTATGGGGAAGCTGCATTTTCCAGGGTTGTGTATGTGGACTGCAGTATATGAATTTTGCTCCTCATCATTGCCCATATAAAACACTGGGGTGATGGATATCTGCCCAAAGGAATTTCAAGTGCCATAAATTCAGAGCAAACCTGGCATGATGTGTACTTCCCTTACAAAGCTCTCACAATTATTTTTTTTCAGTTGAGTAGGTCTCAGTAGGACCAAAACAGCCTCCCACAAGCTTTGCAGTAGTAAACCTGTACTAGTAGGGACTACTGTTCTGAGCAATGTGAATAGTGAAATTGGTGCAAATAGCACCAGGATTTATTTCTCACTTTTATTTTAAACGTCCAAGGTCTCAAAAAGCACCAGCGTCTTGTTGGTTCTTGGTGTGAAGTGACTTGCAGCTAGCGAGTACGCCTCCAGGTGGGTCCCATGGAGGAGCTCATGGAGCTGTGCTCAGCGATGGACAGTCACCACCAATGCAGCTGAACCGATCTGACTCTCTTTGTGCTTGAGCTATAGATGTTTTCCCAAACAGATTAGCACTGATTAGCAATGAATTATCAAGCGTAAAATGAGTTTCTTGGCTTCTAGCCACTGGACACATACAAAGAATGGATATCTGCAAGAGGAGGAGGAAAATGAGTATCCATGGATGAGTAAAAGGCTTGTACGTATTTGTTGTTGCAGATTATTGTCAGCTCAGAATAAAAAGGGGTCACTGCCAGTTAAATACAACACTCTGTCCTTGCAGTAAACACATTGTTTTGTAGAAACAGGAGCTCTTAAATTATTTCCTTTCTGCTTATCTGTGATTTTTTTAATATATCCAGCAACGTGATATTTGAGCATTTCTGTCATTCAGAAGCAATCTGCTCTTTAGATGGAGCTGCTTGCTTAAAATGCTGATGTTGATGATGCTGAAAACATGGGGTGGGGGAAAACTCAGGTCCCATCTTGAATAGGCTTGCAGACACTCTGTTACTTTAAGAGAAGGTAAAAGACATTTTAAGTGCTTAATAGCTATTTAGAGAACAAATAAACAGTTGGAGTACTTTCTCTAAAGGGAAACATTATTGGCAAGGGAGCTGCTTCAGACAGGGGTGAAAAAGTAAATTGGTCCACCTGATTATGAAGAAGAGGGTGATCAGTAAAATGGTTGGTCTACTACTCTGCTCTGTGAAATAGAAGGACTCTCACTTTATTTCAGTGATGACAGGATGAGGTTGCAAGGCTTCTCTTAGCCAGCAGGAACACGCAGTCTGCTCAACCCTTCTGCCAGTTTGTTTTAGTTATTCTAAGCAGTCTGATGGTAGGCGCAATATCCTCACAGTTAACAGGTGTATTATCACTTTAATTATCTTTAACTACCGGGCATGCTGTGATAGTAGGCACTGAGAGATTCAAATATACAGTAGATCTGGTAAAAACTGCTTGTCATGAGTGGACTGAAACGCTTATTTTTTGCACATAAGAGATAATGTTTGTCACTAGCACCCATCATCTTGGCTATACATGCAAATTAATTTGCCAGCAGTCTTATGATTGACATCTGAAGAAATAATTTATGCAAAAATATAGATGATGTCCTACATTTACTTACCAAAAGGAGACTTTGACATTTTTAAAAGAAAAACCCCAAACAATTATTTCAAACTTTTGTTATGAAACCAGATAAAAAATTGAATAAGAAACCAATTATGTTTTCTTACGTGATGAACAAGAAGGGGGATATTTATATCTTATTTCTGTTTGTGTGTGTGTATAAAGAAAGTGCTTGCATGCTGATGGGACAAAGGAGGGGAAAAGGCTAAATTTGACTTTTTGTTGAAGAATTTTGTGGGTTTTGTTGTCTGTTGAAAACCAACATTATTACAGAAATCTCACTGAATAACTCAAGTTTCTATATGACCAGATTTCAAAATAACATTTTCTAACAGACTGATGTATATCCTTTACATGATATATTCCTTTATGGCCTCTAATTATTTAATAATTTATTATCTTCCATTTTTTCCCATTCTGTGTTTTCTTTCCTTCTCTTATAGATCCTTGTTATCTAACACACATTTACTCATGTTACTCATCTCTGTTTCTTCTCTTTATGCATTTGTTTTCTATGGCTGTCTCCTTTTCCACTTCCCAAATCTTCTCCTTGTGGTTTTTTTTTTGTTTGTTTGTTTGTTTGTTTGTTTTTTTGTTTTGAAGCTGCTCAGAAATGCATGTCAGTAGTATTAAATCTCATCTTATAAACCTAGCTTCCCCATGTCTAGTTCATAAAAGCAATGGGCTAATGAGAAAAAGATGCATGACTTCAGCTTTTTATTTATTTCTAGGCTCACTGTGAATCCTAAGACATGTGATGCAGCTGGGTATGCTGACTTTACTGGAAGATTCATGGACAGTTACTGTAGTGTTATGATGTTTCCAGACAAACGTATATATTGCAGGTGTGTAGCACTGTTTTCACAGTGGATTCTTGACAGGTTATAAAGAGCATCCATGTGGCAATGCACCAGCATTCAGACATCACTGAGGTATTCAGACATCAGTGGTTAGCCCTTGTTTGCCTTTAAGTGAATCCACTCCAAGCAATTTGTCATCTCTCTGTTTCTAGCAATATTAAATACACAATCTTGCACCGATCTCTTGGCGTAGAAGAATGTCTGTACTTGGAGCAGTGTGTTCATTGAAAATTTTTTTTTACCCTTCAGCCTCGTATGGATCTTTAACGATCTGCTATATACTGCCTCTTTCTCTAATCTTCTGAGAGAGTCAGTAGGCACAAACTGTACTGAGAAAATTACACCATACCACACTCTGAAACTGTGAGTTTGATTCCAGCCCATCTGGTGGGACTGCTGCTAAAAGCCAGCATCTAAAGATGCAGCTCATTTGAATTCTGGGTGTACACGTGAGCTAATACGAATGTGCTCAGAGACTGAAGGCTGATGTATCAAAGACACCGTTCAACACCACCTCAGGAGTGTTCCTAATAGTGCGACCATTTTTTCTTTTCACTTCTGTCAAATTTATCAATGTCTGATGTCATTCTTTCTCACAGAGAGAGCCTATTAATATGTATAAAGTGTAAAAAAAAAAAAGTTCATCCCTATGCATTAACATTTACTCATGGCAATTATGTTTGAGCTTATTAATTTTGTATACTCCCTCCTTCCACTTTTCTTTCTTTCTTTTCCACCCCTGGTACCAGATCTATCAATTTTCATGAAGCTGTGTGTATGTGTGAGTGTGCATACCCCTGTATGTATTTATGTGTGTATATATACATCTCTATATATAGTTCATTACTAATGACTGAACAATTTTACCCACATTTTGTATCTTACTGCTAGAGCATTTCCTAAGAAAACTAATGACTGCTTACCTGGAGCTAGACCAAGCTATTAGACAAGCACGTAACTGTATTGCCCCAGGAAGTATACAAGGAAGGAATTGGACCTGAAAGCAGCATAGTTTGTCTTGCCTCTCTTTCCTTATTTGTGAAACAAAGAGGTAATTTACACGTCTCCCTTTTCATGTGCCTTTTTCTGGTGCAGGTTAATTTTCCTATACAGTCAGCCAGCATGTAAGAGACAGAGCCGAATGGCTCTCACATCTTGCCACCTCCCTTGTTCCAGAAGTCCCTCCCTCCTGAGCCTCGATCATCCCATCCTGCTGGACATCCCCTGGGGATGCCCCTGTGCCAGGCTGAGCCGGAGAAGGGACAATTTTCTAAATATTCTCTGTGCGGGAAGACAGCCATAAGGTTAAATACTGCACATCTCCTCTTATGAAATGTTTGCCTGCCTGTGTTTGCTCAGATTCTCCCTAAGAGCATCAGCTCTGAGTCCCTGACCTCCCTTGCTCTGTGTGGGGCAGAAGGGGGCTGCGTGCTCCCTGGGCTGTGCCGCTCTGCTACCCTCCATGGGTCTGGGACCCAGCGGTTGGTGACTGGTGTGCGTGCAGGACCTCGTACCCATGGGATGCATGTCAAGTGCTTTCCCCACCTGCAGCAGGAGAACTGTACGCCACAAGCTGGGATTTGCACTGACTTTGGTGGAAACCACCATTTGTTTTAGTCAGTGAACTGACTAGGCGAGGAGGCCTTATGTAGGGTGAGATTTTGCTGGAAATGAGAGCGTCAAGGCACCTTCTCAGAAAGGGGCTGTGACTCCAGTTCACATCCTTGGTTTGATGCATCCTGCAGTGTACCCCCTACCTTCAGCAGGGCTGGCCAGATTCAGTCAAAAGATAGAGGAGAGATTATATCTTAATGCTGTATAACTCTTCATACTCCTCCTCCTGTGGGGGTATTTATAATACAACTAAATCCCCTTCCATCCCCTTCCAGCTCCACACAGGGACCTGGAACTTGCAAATAAATGAATCTTTGCAAGAACTTTAAACTGCAGTCTTTAGGTTTAGGGATGTCACTGCATTCTGCTCTGTGACAGGATAGGATGGAGAAAGAAAAACCAGAGAAACTAGAGTCCTATTTCAAGGAGTAAATTCAGCCTTATTGGCTCAGCCACATCAAAAAAAAAGAGCCGCTAGTGCAGTAATCACTGCAGTACCTAGAGACTACAGTCAGGATTGGAAGGATGCAGCTTTGATGTTTTCCTAAAATAAATACAAACTTTTTTTACTCTTTTAAGTTGAGTCAACAAAAGAGTGGTTAACTGCTCTGTTAACCAAAAGGCCCCCAGCTTTACTTTGGCCACTTTTTCTTCTGCCATGGCTTAAATCACAGTTTAAACATTATCTTCATTTGTTCTCTTAGTGATTCACTGGAAACTAGAAGGCAGAGGACAGAAGCGAAGCAGGACCTATGGCTTTAAAAACAGGACTTTGATACCCATTTGCTTGTGTTCAGTCCACTCCTGTTTGCATCCTTAACACTTGCATTTACAGCTGCTCACAATGAAATAGGCAGCAGCCCTGTCTGGCAGGAGGCTAATCAGAGTGGACTGCCATGTCCCTAGATATCACTTCATCACCTATGGACAGCCTCACTTGTCTGAGGTCTTTGTGCTGGTGACCCCTCAGCTATCCTAGCAAGTTATGTTGGCTTTCCTGGGTTCAAGCGAGATGCTTCAATCCAAATCAACTGTAATCAAAAATAACTATAATTATCATGGTCAAAATAAGTTTAATTTCTTCAAAGAAGTACTATGTGTGTCTGTTCATGTGACTAACATCACCATTACCTGCTTTTTGTACATATGTACAATTGCACAGCTGCTGAAGCCCCCGTAAGCTGGGTGATTTATTAGCCCTGTGTGCCACTTGCCTGTCCCATTCAGCAGGAATCTATAATCTAACCCTTTGCCTTATGGCATTAAAAGGTGCAATTAATCAATAAAGGGAATCGGTTAATATTCTACACACGTAAGTGCCAAACATCAGAATAATATGCTCTCTCATGGCTGACATCCCATCATTTTGTTGTTTAGCTAAAAAGGAAATTGGCAGGACAACCACAGCATACACCATGGGATTGCTCTGCAGATCTGGGGCAGTTGTTATATCTGCTGCAGAGAAATATTTTCTCTGCTGAAAGAGTTTTTTAAAAATAAATAGAAAAGTTGTTAAGGAGTAAAATGTTGCTTTCTGTGATTTGGGAAACTTTCTTCCCCTATTTCAAAGACTTAAGTGGCATGGGGGAATCCCCTAGCAGCCATAGGCCCTGGGAATTAAATTTTCTCCATCTGTTCCCTCTTCTCTAAGCAACAGAGCACGAATCCTACTACTATCTATTTCTTTAAGCAGTCTCCCGTGGAAAGAAGGAGACTTGATTAGTGCGTGCACATATGGTTGCCTGTCCACATTTGGAAGACTGGCCACTAAGAGAAAACATCGGCTTGATATTCATTACTATCCTCGAGCTCTCTGCACTGTATACAAGAAAAGGTAACCTTTCCATTGTGGGAGGCAATACATGTGGGAAACAAGGTTTGAGATATTCTTACCAGAAACTGAATCAATTCATTTGCTGTACAGTTCTCAAAACAGCCCTTCTCTTAATCAAGGGCTGACCTGGGTTCAGTAAGTTTGTGGCTCTTGTGTATCGCCAGTGCTCTGCAGATGATCTAGTATAGTTTCCTGGCAGGTGCGGTCTTCTTAGCAATACCTTATTTTCTCAAACCATTTCAATGTTGTTCATAAAGCAGTAGTATGTATCTTCATATTTCTTAATCTTCTGAATTGCTGTTGACTTTTCTAAATGGAATTGTCTTGAATTTCTTTCTTCAGCTGTTTCTTGAATAGGCAATATTTTTGTTTTCCAGAAAATGCTGTTATAAAGTGTGCTTCTCTGATCTTTCAGCTTTCTGGTGAGTAATTAAAACAGACTCTTCAGTTTTCTTTATGTTTTCTGTATGAAGCTGCCATGAACTTAAAGCAGGTTTTCATCCCAGGCTGTTTTGTCTATGTCTAAATGCTCATGTTTCATTTCATTTCACAAGCTACTGGGTTTTTTTTCTGGAGCAGAGGCCTTTCTGTTACACTGAGTTTCAAAAGAGCTGGCCTTGCTTATACCTGAATATGGGTAATTTTGTGTCTGACTGAGACTATTTGGTACAGTGGTGGCTTAATTTTAAGATTTGGTACTTGTTTAGAAAAAGCTTTGCAGGATATGGCTGCATCCTATGTTCCTTATTCACTAGACTGCTCTTTTTCACTCACCTTTGAAACGCCTATAATATGGTCCATGTGTATAGACTATGTTTTATGGATCGAGTGAATTGGCAAATTAAGCTGCCTGGCTATGGAATTCAGTTCCTTGAAGTGCAGTGCTGAGTCTTTCGTTCCAGTGCAGATAGGGGAAATTTATAACAGACGTCAAGAGATTTGAGATATTGCAGGACAGTCACTTTTTATCAGTGGTGCTTTAATAATGAAGAGTTTCAAAAAGAGCACTGTTGCAGAACTTCACAATCACCGTCTGGACACAGGCTGGCCTAACATTTGGTTAATGGTTCTGTTGGTTTTTTTTAGAGACATGGTCAAACAATGAAAAATGAACTTCATGAACAACAATAAGAATTTAAGGGGCTGAAGATATTTTGTACAAAAGATTTTAAAGGGCCTAGTCTGTGAATTTTTAAATTAGTAAATATGGTTATTCTAATTTTGATCAAGAATGGGATTTTAAAACGGTGTATATTGGTTATAAACAATTTTAATCTGCAGCTCTCTGTATACTAATATAAAAAAAACCACTTATTTTATTACAGCAGTTTTGATTTTAAAAGTTCAGTTAAAACCCTGCAGTATTCTAAACAATGAAACATTGTTTTCAGCTAAATGCTGTGCTAAAAAATAACTAAAATGCCAGTGACTCTAATTATAGCCCACCTTTGACTATGAGCTTTTCAGCAGAAGTATGGCTGGGGAGCCTGAAGACAACTTTCTGTAGGAGCGATATTCAAATCAGGGAATGTGGAAATTACTCCGTCTCTTTTTTTCCATCTGTTACTTCTCTTAGTGACAATCTAGCAACCTTTTCCTGAGTGAAAAGCAACATATGCATGATCATCATCATTAGCAGCAGAATTGTAGTGTCTTTGATCTCTAAGAGTTGAAGAGAAGCCCACTGTGTTAAACATTATACAAACACAGCATCTGTGCAAATGTAGCTCTAGAAGGAGAATCCTAACTTGATCCAAGCAAGTTAAGATAAGGTCACTGGCAATGATAAAATGGGTGCACTGTCATCTGCTAAACTCTTCTGATAAAGTGAACATTGCTGTCACCATGGGAAGATCCATCATGACCTGTGGTTCTGCAGAGGTGTGACACAGCTGTCCAGTTTTACAGTGCCTGAGGGGAGTACACTGGACCTCACCCAGGTCATTGGTTATGGTTGTCTGGGCCTTCAAGTCATCAGCAATAATATATTCTTTCCTTATGACACTAAGCTGTTTCTTGATTGGCCTTTTTCCCTCAAAATTTGCCATGAGTTTGTAAAAGAAGATGGCAATGCAAAAATTACTTGGACGGATTGTTCTAGTAATAACTAGTAATATATTTTAATGATTTTTTTCATTTACTGAATAACATTTCAGGTAAAATCTCATTCCAGACACACAAAGTTCTCTATTAATTTCACAGCTGTGTTACAGCAAGTTCTCATAACAAGGTATTATTTAATAAGGGTAGCTTCATAAAAGAAGTTTCTTTTTCATTTTCAGCTTTTAAAATTATATTTGGATCTGATGGCTGAGAGATGGGAGCCTTTTATTTGGCTACAATTTCAGATAACTACATTATTTATGAAAATAAACATTTCTCCTTATAATGTATAAGGAAAAAATCTGCATAATCCCCAGCTTCTGTCAGAAATCAAAATATGATTTATTTCCTTTTCACAGGTTTTGATGGTGTAAGGAAATAAGAAAGCCACTTCTTCAAAATACAGCCTCTGAGGCCAGAGACAAATTTGACCTCTTCTCAAACATTTCTCCTCTGCTCAGAGAGGTTGATCCACAGGAACCGATGCCAAAAGAAGGTGCTCAGGTTCCAGGGCCTGGTATGTTGAATATAGCACATTATCAAGGTGGAATAGCAAAAATGAAGGAGGATATTTTTAAAAGTAAAAATACTTGCTTGATTCTCCTGTATCTCCTCAATGGCATGCATTTATGTATAATATTTAAAGCTGCATTAAATTCATAAATGTATGTAGTTTGTGACACTCAGCTCAAGAGATATTAAAAGATCCCAGCCTGTGGTAATCATTTAACTTTCTCTTTAAGACATTTGCAAACTGCTTCACATTGTCTATGCCTTTTTAGCATGTGAGATGAAATCTGGATTGTAGTGGTAGCTTTCCCTTCCCTTCCCTTCCCTTCCCTTCCCTTCCCTTCCCCCTTTTTGTTTTTAAGAAAGAAAGACTGGTTATTTTTATATAATTATTTTATACCAACACTGAGTTGAAAACATTTGTAGCTAAGCAAGATCTGTTTCTTACCTTGGGGTAAGACAGTAAATTCTTCCATATTACGACTGCATAAGTTATCCTACAAGCTTTTCACATGCCTGAAGGGTATTTAGTCAGACAGTCTCTCTCTATTCTAGAGAAATCTGCTGCAGAGGTCAGCTAAACCAGCAACACTTCGAACAACATGACAGGTGTGTATGTGTGAATGGGAGGTCAGTGACTTGGTACTGAGGAAGGAAAGTGAGGATATCTCTTTCCTTTACAGCTCCTGCATGAGAATAACTGGTGTTGGAACAGAAGAGCTGCTGCGCTCCAAGCAGCAGAGACAATGTGATCCTTCCCAAAACTAATGTGAGAATTTCATTCTCCAGACCTTTTAAAGCTGATTTATAAGGAAACACTTGGCCAGATCATTCAATGGGGGATGATGTGTCTGGTGGGTTCACTCAGGTGCTATGGTGCAGAATGAGAGTTTGCCATCCAGGAGGGCTCTACAGACTGAGGCTGCATCTGCATTTCACTCCTCTCCTGACACTCATCTTCTCTCTGAGCCAGGCATCAAATTCAGCCAGCAGGTGGACATGAGCAGTCCACTACCCAATTGTATCTGATATGTGCAGTCATGAGGTGGGAAGCAGACTGCAAAGTTGGTCTATTTTTAGACTATTTTTATGGGGAGGAGTGAATTTAATATGGGGAAAAACTGTGCAAGTCACACAAGTCTCATTGAGCAAATGAGATCTGCCTATCCCTGTGGCCTCTGAGTCCTAGGAAAGGTCTTGCTAACCACAAAGCTCAATATTCAAATGACAGTACTTTCCTTACAACTAATTCACCTTAACAGGATTATATATGTGAGTAGCCTCACTGGGGTCAAAGGAATCATTTACCTGCATGCAGTGTCATGCATACACATTTGCAGCATCAGGCCCTCTAGTCACACAACAGCTTTCATTGACCTGCATGTGGCTAAGTCACAATCTGATGTGAATTAAGGAAAGTAAAGAAAAGCATATGGTTACATGGCAAGAGTGCTGCAGAATGGTTTAAAGTGTTAAAGGTTTAAATCACACCAAGGCTATAAAAATCAACTTTGTTTATGGAGCGGTACAGAGACCTATTGTACTTAGTATCGATCAATCCATTGAACACCTGATTCAAAATGTTCAATTGAAAGCTGGGGAAAAGTGCTAAATTGAACAATCTAAATAACCTGTGAACCTGAAAGTCATAAATCAATAGCAATGTTACACATAGTTAACCCTAACTAGTTAGCAAGTTGTCCCAATTATTACCTGGGTTACCTGGTTAGGAGTTATTACCTGGTTTGCTCTTTCAGAATTCTATTAATACAGACAACCTCTTTACGCTGAATGTTCCTTGGTGGGGTATGAGGCTCACTAAAGCCTTTCTCTCCCACTTCTATGCCAGGTTGCTTGAATATCAGTATGGAAAAAGGACATTTGAAATTATGAATCAGCCTTACAAAAAGACTGTCAACTTCAGGGGACCTAAAAAGTGTTGTTACAAAAGTCATATGATCTACTTTTCAAAGGTGCTTTTTTCTGCGTGGAGGGTTATTCAAGTCTTTAAGGGCTCTGCTTAACATTGAATCCTTCTGATGCCAGTGCTGTTTTGTTATTTTTGTCCACAGGCTCTTTGCAGAATTGGAAGGACCATGGTTTTCTGGCCTGTCTTGTCTTATACATGCCTAGCCACATTTGCCTTTCTTTACTTCCTAAAGACAGTAAAAACGCTGACTTTTTCAGCAAGGTTCACAAAACTTCTTGTTTCCATTAAACCATTTTTCTTAGTGTTAATTGCATTACACACCTCTAGTTCTCTGCTAAATTAGCCCTCCATTAGCTTTTGCATTATTTTATCCTTTCAGCTCAGGCTGAAAGGGCTGTAATTGTCTGGGTTACACATATAACTTAAAAAAAAAAAAAAAAAAAAAAAAAGACTGGTGTGATGTTGGCTTAGTTTTTGCTGTCCATTGGAACTTCTCTAGTGTTCTCAGACTTACCAAAAAGGAATATTCATGGTTTTGAAATTTCTTCAGCCAGCTTTTTTAAAGTTTTGGTTGCAAATTATGCAGGTCTGGTGTTTTAATTTAATGTTCTCCTGATGTACTGCTGGAATGAACAACATTGCATTGTCTTCTTATGACAGGACTGATTTTGTGTGATTTTTCTTCAAACAAAGATCAGATTTATTTACAGAACATACAGATTTTTGCATAAATTATTGACATGAATACACTTCTGTGTAGTGAAGACCAAAAATCTTTCTTGTTATCCTTAACTCTCATTAAAGTCTTTCTTGCTTCCATCCTTATCCATTTTCTGTAGTTATTATCTTCTGCCTAATACTCATGACTTCTAATAAATGTCTTTTTTTGCACAATTATTTTGATTTACATAGCTGTTTTCACTTCTATGCAAGTCAACATTTAGGCTAGCCCAGCTTTCATTCTGTTTTTTAAAACCTCTGGTAAAGTGTTTTTAAACACTTTCCAGTTATTATCCACATTTCCTCTAATTTCTTTCTCCCATCTGATTTAGATCATAATTGTTTTCAGCTTTGCAAAATTGGCTCTTCCAATCCATTGAGTATATATATATTACTGGTCTGGAATTAATTCTGATTATATATAACAAACAGAAGCAAATCATGATCACTTTTATCTAAGCTACTGCTGATTTCTTTAGTCTAGTTCTATGATATTTTATTTTCATCCATAAGGATAAAATAACGCAATACAGCATTCCAAAAGTGTTGGATCCAGCACTTTTTAAGGAGTTTATAATTTATGGCATATTCCAAGGATATATTAATTTGGTGGCATGAAAACTCCAAACCATGCTATTCAGATTGAAGTGCTGACATTGCATGCTTTATATTTCTTCTTCTTTTATGGGTGCTTACTTAAGGAGATAGTTTTCCTCTTCTTTTGGTAATTACTTACAGAAGGCAGTAATAACAGAAAAAACAGAAAAACCTTTTTGTACCTTTCTGTAACACGCCATTCTACAGATTAATACTTACATATGTCTTTGTGTCTATTTCCCAGTTTTGTCATATTTCTTTTACCTTATTTTGATGATGTAACAGAATTTAGAAAGGACAGAACTGGCTTCTTACAGAATCCTTCCCAAGGAAGAGGGATGGATTGGAAGTGGAATATATTTGACAGCTCCACTTCAACTGACATTTTAAGGAGGGCATAGTGCCTGTCTCAGCTTTTTGTACTTTCTTGATGCTTTCCTCAATAGATTGCCAGATGGTAAAGTGGATTAGAGAATCAGGCTTCAGTACAACATGTACCCTAGAAACCAGGAAACTGCCTCTTGAGTGGGAGACACTGCTAATTTCGGTGGATCTAGTATCTGGCTCTGTATTGTAATTGTTAATGGACAAATTTAGAAATGACAGCCAACTTTGTGCCCTGATCTAGGGAAGATGATCTCATTTTGAGTATGATGTTCTTCATGTTTATTTCCTGCTAGGAATTTTTTAAAGCTCTTTGCAGCTACCTCATTTATGATTCCGTTCATCTTTAGTTTGTTGATGTTAAACACTTACATTTGTGTGTTTTTAATTTGAAACCCTATTATTTTTTGTGCAGTTATGATTCCATCTTTCAAATTAGATCAATGTTCAACAGAATTAGTCAATTTATATTGTCAAAAATGTATTGAATTTCTTATTGAAACCCTCTGCTTTTTTATAAAATGACCTTTTTGCTTTAGGACTACCGATATAATTACTAACAATAAAATATTTTTCTGTGGCCTCTAAATGCTCAAGAAAATGCATCTCTTGGAAAATAGAGATTTATGAAATTACTTTTTTTGATGAAAAATGTAGACTCACTATTGCCAAATGTTTAATGAATACATGTCAGTCTTTGCCACATTTTATTTTTGTTGATTTAAAAAGCTGAATATAAACTGTTCTAATCCTTCCAAAATAACAGGTTTGTGTTTATTTGTTTGAAACAAACTCTTCTTCCTGAAAATTTTTTGTATTATGTCTTCTATCAGAAGACTAATATGCTTAACAACACAAACGATTAACTAATGAGATGGTAATGTGACACCTCTTTCACAACCATCTAGCAAAATGAGAACTGGGCAGACTGGTCATGCTTTTCATGGTGGAGATGTTTTTGTGTCAGTAGGCACGAAGTGATGGACTGGTGATAGATGGAGAGATTAGAGAAAGTCAGAGTGGTGAGACAGCCACATGTAACTTCTAGGCAATTGAACCTGAAAAGCTTTGATGACCCTTGCTGTACTCAATGATGCTGTGCTCCAAAGGGAGGGTGAGAATTTAACACACAGTGCCTTCTTGTTATCAAAGGACTGCAATAGGTTTTAAAAGCTAAGGTGATATCACTATTAAGTGTTTCACTCTGAGGGGCTGTCCTCTGGCTTTAAAGAGGTTTATAGGAAGATCTGGGCTGTAACTGCTTGAGGAAGGGACTATATTTGTTCATTGCAATATGATGGTGTTTAAACATACATTTTAGATGTAGGACTCCCCCTGATGATGCAGAAAAACTCATTGAGATGACAGAAACTGTCAGTGGATCAGGAAAATCTATTATTTTGTTGGTTTTGGCTGGGATAGAGTTAATTTTCTTCATAGTAGCTAGTATGGACTATGTTTTGGTTTTGTGCTGGAAACAGTGGTGATAATTCAGGGGTGTTTTCCTTATTGCTGAGCAGCACTTACAGAGTCAAGGCCGCCTCTGCCTCTCACCCCACCCCACCAGCGAGTGGGTTGGGGGTGCACAAGAAGTTGGGAGGGGACACAGCTGGGACAGCTGACCCCAACTGACCCAAGGGATATCCCAGACCACATGGCATCATGCTCAGCATAGAAAGCTGGGGGAAGAAGAATGAAGAGGGGGACATTTGGAGTGCTGACATTTTTCTTCCCAAGTAACCATTACGTGTGACGGAGCCCCGCTTTTCTGAAGATGACTTAACACCCACCTGCTGATGGGAAGCGGTGATAAATTCCTTGTTTTGCTTTGCTTGTGCATGCGGTTTTTGCTTTACATATTAAACTGTCTTTATCTCAACCCACAAATATTCTCACTTTTACTCTTCTGATTCCCTCTGCTATCCCACCTGTGGGGGGAGTGAATGAGCGGCTGGGTGGTGCTTAGTGGCCGGCTGGGGTTAAACCACAACAATAATATTAGTCTTTCTGTGGGACAGGTCACTGAACACAGCCCTCTCCAGCTTTCACATTGTTGTGGGAGAGAAAAAACTATGGTTCAAATTTTAGCAGAGCAGCCAAAATGAATTTCTGAGGGTTATTTCCAGTTCAAAATTTGCATCACCCTTTTCCTGTGAATGTTTACCTACCCCCTGTACCAGTACAACCTGTGGAAAGTAGGTAAGCTACAGAAATGAAGCTCTGCATTAAAGGTGGATCTCACTGGGAATAATGACAGTGTACTGGGAGGAGGGCAGAAGCTCACTCTTCCAGCACTCATCCACCACCCTGTAAGAGATGGGTTGTTATGCTGGTCACATACCAAGCCAAAACATATCCATCCTCAGAAAATATGCTAACACAGTCTGGTCTGGCTGAGATGGAGTTAATTTTTCCCCTAGCAGTCCTCATAGTGCTGGGCTTTGTATTGGTAGCTAGAAAGGTGTTGCCTACACACCAGTGTTTTGGCTACTGCTGAGCAGTGCTCCCACAGCGTGAAGGCTGTCTCTCCCCCTCACCAGTGGGCTGGAGGGGGGCAAGATCCTGGGATGGAACACATCAAGGACAGCTGACCCAAATTTACCAAAGGGATATTCTGTACAATATGTCATCTGCTTAGCAATAAAAGTTAAGAGAAAGGAGGGGGGGCATTCATTATTATGATGTTTTTCTTCCGGAGCATCTGATACATGTCCCGAAGCTCTACTTCCCAGGAAGTGTCTGGGCATCGCCTGCTGATGGGAAGTAGAGAATAAATATTTCGTTTTCCTTTGCTTCACCATGTGGCCTTTGCTTTTGGTTTATCAAACTGCCTTTATCTTGACCCACATTTTTTTCCACCTGTCCTGGTTCAACTAGGATAGGGTCAAGTTTTCCCCAGCAAAGAGAGAAGGGGAAGGGATCTCCAGCCGGGTTATTCATACCATGCTGACGTCAGGTCCAGGGGTGGAGCCCTTTTACTTTCGCTTTTGGTTTTGGGGGTTGCGACACACGCGGCGAGCTTGTTCCCTGTCCATTTTGCGGTATTTCTCTATCTATCTTTTGTCTTGTTCACTGTTATTGCTGTTTATTGTTGTTATCTTTGCCACTGCTGCTATTCAGATTGTTTTATCACACTGTTGTATTAAATTTCTTCTTATTTTTAGCCCGGGTCTGTGTTTAACTACCAGCCCGACCGGCTGCGGATGGGGGAAGGGCAACAGGAACGTGCTCTCCGGTCCTGGTGGGTCTTAAACCTGCACACCACCTTATTTTCTGCTACCCTGTGCTGCTGAGGGGGAGAGTACAGAGTGGCTTGGTGGGCACCTGGCATTCAGCCAAGGTAAACTCACCACACCAAGTCTGCCTGCAATATGCTCAAACACAGTTATTGTGCTACTTCTTTGGGTCAGTGCTACTGAAGGCTTAACCAAAACACCATCCAAATGGCTAACCCTGCTCACTGCTGTCAAATTTATTTTCCCTTGGTAACCCATCCTGCTTCACTTGTCATTGCATTTAGAACAAGAAGCTGTAGAAAGAACACAGTAAGATCAGAGAATAATGTGACTTGAAAATGTGAAGGATATTCTATAAATAAGAATCTGACTTGTATAAGAGTCAGTCTTGCTATGGGAGTTAATTAACAAACAAGTCATGTCTATGCTCCTTACCGATGGCTGCAGTAATCTTCTTGTGGTCCAAAGAGCTGAACATAAATAAGATTGTCACAGAGTGTATGGTGTGAAAGAGAATTTGGCATTTGGGAAAACAAATTTAAAGCAAGCCTAGAAGTATCACTGTGAAGTTTTCCCTTTGCAAATGCTGTCACAGTAGGCAGAAAGGAATCAAGAGACTTATTTACAATTTAAATATGAGCTTGGTCATAGAGGACATTTTTTGCAGGGAGATGTAGATCACATATGTCCACTAGGTTACAATGTTGAGACCACCCAGGCTTTTGCTAATGCTAGTGTTTACATAAAAAGTTAGAAACAAGCTTCTCTCCAATTAGAAAACCAATATCTAACTAGATGTGAACTTGTTATATACCCTGTAGTCTAAATGTTAATAACTTTGACCTCCTTCAATTTAATCTTAATCTCTTTGACAGAGCAAGTGAACTTTGGGTTCTGCTTTACCAAATTGTTCCCTTTGTTTTCTTCACTCCCTTATGTTTCTAACAGTGAGTATGTCACATATTGCAGACCCAAATGAAAGCCTGTCTTCTTTTTCAATCAGTCATATCACTAAGTATATGAGCAGAAAAACCCTCGTGATTGACACTGCTTCAACAAAACCAGATTCAGTTTGCAGATGATAAGAAGCAAAGTCATACAAGCAGTGTTTACAAAGCAGTGAAGGAGAGAAAAAAAAATTAATGATAAAAGGACTAATCTTATTGTCTTACTAGATGAGAGAATGGTTCTTTGTGTTTGCTCTAGCAGAAGTACACAGATTGTCTCCCACCTCCCTTGCACACTTTTGGCAGCAAAATAATTTCCAGATTCTGTATCAAACGCTGGCCAGTAGATAAAAAAAAGGCTCTGGAATGCTTTGGACACCTCAGAAACAAGAGGAGTGCCCGCACACGATAGTGTGGGCATGTGCTACCTACAGCATGCTATATAATTGAGTATTTTCTACCTTACGAAGGGGGGATGAAATGTAAGAGCAAGGGAAACAAATCTCTTTAAAATAAAAAGAAACAAAGCTATGTGAAAACATATTGAACTGTCTAACCCCTTATGTTTTCTGTAGTATGGCAATTTCACTGCTATGAGGAGAGTTCTTCATGATTTCTTCCCTTTTAGGGAGACTAGACCCATGTGAAGTCTAATCAAAAGGAGCCCCAGTTTTCAAACCATGCTCCTGGTGCTGGAGTGCTTGATTGATAGCATGGCCAGCACAGAGCACAGCAGTACCACTTCATTTCTTGGGGCCAGATGCTGGAGGGGGATGACTGGGACAGGTTCACAGTGGTGGAGTAGTTTATGTTGGAAGGGACCTTTGGAGGTCCTGCTCAAAAACAAGCATACTTCAAAGTCAAATCTAAGCTGCCCAGAGCACTCTTGATATCCACTACTGGAAGTCATCAGGGTGACCCACTGGTGTTTTTTCACGACAGCATATCTGTATAGAAATCTGTTTTAACCTTGTGTGATGGTCATTATTGACTGTGCAGGAGGCAGGACAGAGAATTAAAATCCAGGACTACCTCAACAGGCGAAGGACAGTATAACCTTGCTTTCCAGCTCTTCTACTGTTCATTAGTTTCATGGCTTAATTCCTATCTCTTGCTAGCAGGGCTAGGCAGCTTTGTCCTTTCAACAGCTGAAGTCACACTGCCTTACCACTGTTCACCAAAGGTTGCTGAAAGAGTGTTGCCAATTTCTTTCTCAAGATGAATCCTGCCAGCTCAGTTATGTCCTTCAGCAAGCATGAATATCTAGCTGTAAAATAATCAGTTGTCATAGTCTTTATTGAGATGCGATAGGTTGCACATACAGCAGGTGAAAGGATGGAAGGCAAGACTAGGCTGTTTTAATGATTCGCCCCTAAAAGTCTCTGTGGAGTATGCTCAGTGTGTCTATCTAATCTAACCATCCCCACTGGCAATATGAGAAGCAGCCCTAGCACCGAGGGAATAATACAAACCTCAGGTTTCACTGAAGCATTGCATTTCATCCCATTCTGCCCCGCTAAAAAGCCATTGCCACTTTTAAAGACATTACTTGAGTT